TTTGGATGGAAACCTGATTATTCTTGTAGCAACAGTTATGTGATATCTGATGGTGTTGTTTAGAGCCCGAATTATCCTTAAGCTTTACAGTCTGTACAACATACTGTATGTCACCATTAGAAGCTAGATTCATAAAACTTAGCAGGTTGCCATGTGGTTAAATGTGATGAGGTTGGTTGGAAGGTGGATTTCTTCTCATTTAATGGAGCGACTGTTGGAACTCTCCTCTTCCTCGCCCTATATTTCCCCACTGTACCTGCTCTTCTTCATGAAATGACAAGATTTTGCTTCACACTCAAGAGTAAATTGCATGTTTCGCTCAAATGTTGCACGATGCATGGCTCCAAGGATTCATTGATTATGATTGTTTCAATGTTGTTCTGTCTCTTTTACGTACACTATGGGAGTATTTTTTCAGTCTTTTGGTCAAGAATCTTCCTCCCCACTTCCTGCCATGGACGCCCTGAGATCTATGTGCTACTTTTTGTGTCTCCAGGCTGAGGGAGGGAAAAAAGCCGGGGCGGTGGCCACAGTGGTGGCTGCCGTTGACCTCGCTCGCGTCCGCGTGCACGCGGAGGGCGGGGTAGCTGAAGAGGAGGAGGCTGTAGAGGCGGAGATAAGGCAGCAGGGTGGAGAAATGACAGCAGAGAAACACATTTTTGTAACAGAAACACTGCCTGCTGAACCGCCAGCTGCTGTTACTGTGACCTCAGAGCAACACAGAGTCCAGGTCTCACAGGTCGGAGGAGTTTACTGAATTCATGGTAGATATGATATTATATATCTGACAATAAGAATAGAGTCTTCTTAACCGCTCAATGAACTCTGTTGGTTGCTCCAGATTCAGAGAACAACAGAAATCTCCTCCCATGTGGACACTGGTGTCTCCCCGTCCCCAGTTCCACATTTCACAGTTTCTAAAGTTTCTGTTCCTAAACACGAACCTAGCCACGAGGTAAGGAGAGGAGCTGCAGGCCCGCCGTCATCATCCAGAATCCTCCATTTCATCTTTAACACACGCACATCTTAACACACAGTCTCCACTGTTTTGTGGTGTGATTCACTTTGATTTCCTCCTCACTGTATCGCCCATCCTAAAATATTACATCACTTTTTCTGATTTGAGGCTACCACAGCATCACAGCCACCAGCTGCAGTTTGTGGTGATCCACTGGAACTACAAACTTTTGTATTGTTTCCTATGAAATGTGATGAACTGTTTTATTACACATACTTAAAATTTCTAGTTTGATCAAATTTAGCTTCAGTTTTTTGGGTTTCAGTTTCAGTTTCAACTACTTTCCCAAATTAGTTTTAGTTTTAGATTTTCTGCATCCACTTAAGGAAAGATAATGAATCCAGACATGAACTACACAAGGGATAAACGAATACACACATTATCATTATTAGCAAGTATCCTTATAGGTTCAACCAACTAAATTATCTGTTCATTTAAACCTGAAATTGATATGGGTTGATCAAAAGTTGTCACATTTATTAGAAAACCTGGTACAGAACAGCCTCGAATTTGAGCTACAGAGCAATGTTTTTGAAGAAAATGGTCTGTTTTTTAAACCAGTAAGTCAGTTAAAACTGCCACAGAGTCAGTCTAGTTGTTTCTCTTGAAAATCTGAAAGTTGCACTAAAAACATATTAAAAATGTTTTATTGTTCATCTGCAGGCTGTGTGCCTGATATCAATTATTGGCCACTTCTTGTTAGATTGATATGAAATGTGGCAGACACAGTAGTCAGATCTCCCTTTAATCTGTGTATATAAAAATTAAAAGGATCAGTCCTGATCGGTCTGTGATCTGCAGTGATGTTCCCTCTCCAGATCATTGTCATGCTGTGGTAACCTCTTCTTTGCTTTGTTTTTGACTATCTCTATATAAGAACTGTGTAGGGCTCAGGGCTGTAGCTATCATTGAACACACTGAGGTCAGGTGCTCTGTAGTCTAAAAACTGCAGTTCACATTCCATAATTATAAGAAAATATACTGTATTACATAGGCTAGTTCCAGTATTCCAGTAGGAACATAGTGGGGTCCTATGTTCCCCAGATTTATATGGCACACAGGACCTTGAAACCATGGACACTGGGAAATCCAAACCCTGGGAACATAGATACACTTCCCAAACTAATCAGAATGAAATACCTGGCAGCACGGAGATGGTCCTGAGATAGTTCGGGCTGATTTAGTTGAGTTGAGTTTCTAATCACTTTCAGAGGAAAACAGCTACATGAAGTGAATAAATAAAACATTAAATATCCCAATGAAAGAAGGAAGGCTTAACCTCAGTGTTTCTAGACTTTGTCTACGCCTTGCTGGGAAAATGAATTGCTCTCCACCGCTCCTCCCGCTCACTAATCCTCAGCTGAACGTGGACTTTGGAAATTCTGTTTGTGACGATGGTTAACGCTCTTCTCATTGGCTCGGTCAGGTGTCTATCGCTGGCTCTGCTATCGCCACTCTGCAGAAAGAGTTAAGATCCCCCCATACTGCCAGAAAGATCATCAAGCCCGTCAAGTCTCCCAGTCCGGCTCGCAGAGCAGCCACGGTGGAGGTGCGAGTGACGCCGGAGCCCCTCCCACCGCCATTTAAAGACATCCGATATCAGAGTCAGTTTGAGTTACAGCCAAGCGGAGGTTACGCAGTGAGTGAGGAGGAGTTTGAGGACTGGGAACCTCAGGTTGGTCCGACCCCGTCGCTGTAGTCCTCTATTCACTTCCCCCAATTTAACCCCGTGTGGACTGTCACCATCCTCTTCACCATAACGCAGCAGCCAATCACACGCTGCCCTTCACCCGCCTCATGAAGAGTCTTCTTCTTCTTCTTCTTCTTCTTCTTCCTGTCTTCACCCGTTGACCTTCATCCCTCTGTCCTCTCTGCAGGGTTTTTATCTGTTATAACCGGCTTCTACCCCTCCATCCTCACAGAACTCCACTGCTGAGAAACACCTTGCTGTTTTCTGTGTTTGATGAAGTTTGACACGTATTGTTGTGTTTCCTCAGGAGGCGGCTGCAGTGCCCACAAGAGCTCAGGAGCCTGTTGTTCCTCCCACTCTTATAGCTGTGAGTACTTTACCTGTCCACTTCCTGTTTATTTCCTCGAAAATGTAATTACTGTAACAGAGAAATGAGGAGTTATCCAATTATTTGGTTTATGATTAAAGAACATGCAAAACTAATGAACAGTAACTGTTAGAAGTTGTGAGTTTATACATACTTACACTTAAATAAATCATCCACATATCCAGTTAAGTAATTTCACTTTACAGTGAAAATTTAAATTGAAAACTGAAAGTGTCAGTCTGTCCAGGTGTCTGAAGGTGTTTCTTTTTGCTGTTCAGGGCCTGAAGAACGTGACAGTGACAGAGGGCGAGTCAGTGACCCTTGAGTGTCAGATCAGTGGCCAGCCCGCTCCCGTCATCATGTGGTTCAGAGAGGACTACCAGATCGAGAGCTCCATCGACTTCCAGATCACTTACAATAGCGGATTCGCCAGGATGGTGATCCGTGAGGCGTTCGCTGAAGACAGCGGCCGCTTCACCTGCACCGCTACCAGCGAGGCAGGAACCATCAGCACCTCCTGCTACCTGCTTGTCAAAGGTGACAATAAACAAAGGCCCTTTGAGTTATACTGATTTTACCCAGAATTTACCTGCATTTGGTGCTTGGCGGCTATTTTTTTACCCTGATAATACACGACTGTAATACAGAAATACCAACAGTAAAACAGATGTAATGTGATAGACTGAGGTCTGCAAGTTGATTTTAGAAATTAATAATAATGTCCGTCTAAAAGGTTGGAGAACAATCTTAAAACTTTTTAAGAAAAAAAAAGTTTTAGTTTTTGTACAGCATTCATTCTTTCAACCTTTTACTCTGTTGTAGTGTCAGAAGAAATTGAAAGCAGAGAGGAAGTGACAACTGTTACTGAAACTGGAATCACTCAAGAGAAAACGTGAGTTGTAAAAGTCTGACATATTGTTACCCAACAGGCCCAATGAGCCACTGTAATATCACATGTAGGTTTCTGAGGCTGTAGTGTTTGATGGAGCTGTTGGTTTCCCTTCAGCGTTTCCGTTGAGATGAAGGAACAGATGGTAGTGGAGGTGAGTGCAGGAGAGTCTGCTGCTCCCTTCTTCATCAAGAAACCGACCGCTCAGATGCTGGTGGAGGGAGGAAGCGTCGTCTTCGATTGCCAGATCGGAGGAAACCCCAAACCCCACATCATCTGGAAGAAGAGCGGTGTGCCACTCACTACTGGATACAGGTACAAATCTTACTTTAGCTTCTTCAAAACCTTTTTATAGCCTGGTTCTAGTCTCTAAATCGCCCACCAATGGTCACTAGTGAAAAGTTGTGTTACTTGTGCTTTATCTGAGTATTTCTTTTTGATTTCACTTTATACTTCTACTCCATATTTCAGTGAATTTATTGTACTTTTTACATGAACACATATGGTGAGCCTATAAAATATTATAGTTTGTTTTGATTAAACTACAAAAAAAGTATTAAAAAAAAGTAAGTAAGTAAAAGTATATGAAATATTCGAAATTAGCTCCACTTTGACCATGTAAAGTAAGTGCTGCATACACACTGTATCTGTATTATAAAAATAATTCCATTATATATTCTATAACACTCACATAGGCTATGTTCTATTTAAATAATGGATCTCAGTAGTTCCTCCATGGTTCAGGTTTGGTCTTGTGAAACAGAGGTCTGGTCAGTGGAGTTTCCAGTTCACAAAACAACTTATCAGACATCAATAGATAACTATTGTTTTGTTTTTTGCCATCAGATATAAAGTCGCCTACAAGAAAGAGACTGGAGAATGCAAACTGGAGATCTCCATGACCTTTGCTGATGATGCTGGAGAATACTCCATCTACATAAAGAATTCCCACGGAGAAGCCTCAGCCACCGCCAGCCTGCTGGAGGAAGGTATCCGTATCCTTTTGTTTCCCCATCCAGGAAATGCCCAACCTCAGAGAGGCATCTTCTGTTGTGACTAAACCATTTAAACCATGCATTAAGGAAAGCTTTTTTGGCTCACAGTTTTTGTGTATCTGTGTTTACAGAGGCATATGAAGCCTATATGAAGCAGCATGACGTGACATATAAAACTGAAGTGACGACAACAGTGATTCAGGAGCCCTCTGTGGTTGTGAGTCAATACGAGATGGAACAGAGGAGGGTGACAACCCCCATGAGCTTTGTCTCTGAAACGGTACTTTCTTCCTAAACACCCGTAGTTCTATAAAACCAAGATTATATAGCAGTCTCAGTAATCCTTAGTTCATATTTCATGTTAAACATTGCAAACATTTTGTTGCAGGAATTCCTCATTTCAGCCTTTGAAGAGAGGATCATCCAGGAGATTGAGCTCCGTATCATGAGGATTACCTACAGAGAGCTGGTGACAGAGGATGGAGAACTGATGGTGACTGTAGCAGAGGAGGAGGCAGTGCAGCCGGCTTTTGAGACGCCGGTCAAAAACTACCGGATCATGGACGGAATGGGCGTCACTTTCCACTGCAAGATGGGTGGAAAGCCACTGCCAAAGGTACTGAGTTGGAAATCTTACTAAAATATTATTACTAAAATAACCAACATTCTTCAAAGCTGGGTATATGTCTGATATGGTTCAGGAGACATTTGGGGGTCCTCAACATTTTGTGAATTTGTTCAGCTGCCAACAGGTTTTACAAGCTGTTTCAAAGCCTTCACTAAATGTCAGCATACATTCATACATACAGTATATTAGTTTGTGTCTATATTAGAGAAGACTTTTACAAAAGAACACTTAAAACCCTTTGCAGGACCTGATGCTGAGAAGTTAAATGGATGTTTAAAATTATCTTCTGTTGTCTGCCAGATTGTTTGGTACAAAGATGGCCAGCGCATCAGAGCTGGTGGCCGTTACCAGATGGAGGTCCTGCAGGATGGACGAGCCAGTCTTCGTCTGCCTGTTGTGCTGCCAGAGGATGAGGGCGTGTATACCGCCTTTGCAGCTAACATGAAGGGAAATTCAGTCAGTTCTGGGAAGCTGTATGTGGAGCCGTCCGGAACTGTAACACCTCAGAGATACACACCACAGCCAGCGATGCAGAGGATCAGGTGAGGTTTCATTTACAAGTGAGAAAAAGGAACTTCGCTAAGTCAAAAGCATCAGAAGTTTTCCAATGTAGGCCATAAGTGCTTGTTTCAAAGAGGCACTAGAAGAAGTTAAAGTGATTATTGTCGGTACTGGTTTTTAATGTGAAAGGGGTCGCTCAAATTGATGAGTCTAAAGACTCTGCTGTTCTGAACCCTGCGGATTTCTATAGCTTTTTCCGGCTCATTGTTTTCATTTTCCATCCCACAACTTTTCTTTTTTGGTTTTCACCACTCTCACTTTCTTGAGTGAGTGAAAAAGCAAAAAAATACAAAACAATTTACACTACCTGCTCGGCATCAAGCAGCAAATAGACGACGTTAATGACTAGTAGATTAATATTTTTGAGCTTTAGCAGCTAAAGAGCCAGATATTTTCCTCAGGAGTTGGTGGAGACCAATCAACATTTGCCAAGTGACCAGAAACTCCTTGTGTAAGCCATTACTTAGCTTGAAACTGACAACCCTGCTCCTTTCTCAGATCCACATCTCCTCGCTCTCTGAGCCGCTCACCCGGCCGTTCTTCCAGCCGTTCTCCTGGACGTTCTCCCGCCCGCAGGCTTGACGACACAGACGAGGCCCAGCTGGAAAGACTCTACAAACCTGTGTTTGTTATGAAGCCTTCCTCAATAAAATGCTCAGAGGGGCAGACTGCCAGATTCGACTTGAAGGTTGTTGGCAGACCAATGCCTGAAACATACTGGTTCCACAATGGTAAGAGAAACAAGACATATTCTTGAAACCAACCTTTATCTGTTGCTTCAGGCACTTGTATAACTGTTTTTTTCTCCTTTTCCAAGGACAACAAGTGATCAATGACTACACCCACAAGATAGTGATTAAAGAGGATGGTACCCAGTCCCTGATTATTGTCCCAGCCATGCCAAAAGACTCTGGAGAGTGGACAGTCATCGCTCAGAACAGAGCTGGACGTACCTCTGTCTCTGTAACTCTTACTGTTGATGGTAAGTCTGTGTCAGATACCGCCTGATACATTCAATATATGTTAATATTATAACCAGCAGCTAGTCTTCTGGACTGCATTCACAAAAATATAATTTTATGGGCGCCCGGTTAGCTCAG